ACACACTGTAAGAGAAGAAGTAATAGTGGTGGTCACGGAGGGAGGGGAGGGGGGGGGTCACCTGTACTATATAGGTAGGAGCCTTTTAACCTGTTGTAATGCGGTAAATATGACGTTAGTAAAGGTGATGATGTTGGTAATGAAGTGAACAAATACAACAACAACAGCAATAATGATAATAACCAACAAATACGACAACAACAACAACAACAACAGCAATAATGATAATAACTAACAAATACGACAACAACAACAACAACAACAACAACAGTAATAATAATAATAAAAGCAAGTGATAACAACAACAACAACAATAACAACAACAACAACACTACTACTAATAACAACAACAATAACAACAACACTACAACTACTACTAACAACAACAACAACAATAACAACACCACAACTAATAATAACAACAGCACTACTACAACTACTAACAACAACAACAACAACAACAACAACAACAACAACGGACTAAAAACATAACCAAGTACAAATCAAGAGACACAAATAGTTACTCAGACACAGACAACATTTATTAATAGTTGTAAATGATGTTGTAATTGTGTAATGATCGTATTTTTCTAACCTGTTTAGTACTTGTTTTACGTGAGAGAGAGAGAGAGAGAGAGAGAGAGAGAGAGAGAGAGAGAGAGAGACCTGTGATTGCCTTATCCTTTTGAAATTCTCATTATTTGTCTTTGGACCAATGAACCGGTTGACAGTATAGAGCAACAGTGGGCCACCTGAGGGCTGATTAGCATACCTTTACTGCCGGATGGATCCCTCCTCAGTCCTGGCCTCTGATTGGTTGAAAAAATGTCCCAGGTATGGCGTTGATTGGTTGAGAGATGTGTGTGTGTGTGTACATGTTGTGGTACCGACGTTGTGTGTACATGGTGTGGCAATAGTGTTTTGTGTACATGGTGTGGCACTAGTGTGTAGATGGTGTGGCACTAGTGGTGTGTGTACATGGTGTGGGACTAGTGGTGTGTGAATATGGTGTGGCACTTAGTGTTATGTGTACATGGTGTAGCACTAGTGTGTACATGGTGTGACACTAGTGTGTACATGGTGTGACACTAGTGGTGTACATGGTGTGGCACTATTGGTGTGTGTACTACATGGTCTGGCAGTGTTATGTGTGGTGTAGCACTAGTGTGTACATGGTGTTACACTACATGGTGTTAGTGTTATGTGTACATGGTGTGGCACTAGGTGTGTGTACATGGTGTGGCGCTAGCGAAACACAACACTGAAAATTTTATGTTTAGAGATAGTGAAAACTGGTGGTAAACTCCGCAGACTGTGGCACTGGAGGGTAACTGGCAGACTGTGGCACTGGAGGGTAACTGGGAGACTGTGGCACTGGAGGGCAACTGGGTGAGACTGTGGCACTGGAGGGTAACTGGGAGACTGCACTGGAGGGTAACTGGGAGACTGTGGCACTGGAGGTAACTGGCCAGACTGTGGCACTGGAGGGTAACTCCACCGCAGGCTGTGGCACTGGAGGGTATGGACTGTGGCACTGGAGGGTAACTGGCAGACTGTGGCACTGGAGGGTGGATGGCACTGGAGGGTACTGGCAGACTGTGGCACTGGAGGTGCTGGGAGACTGTGGCACTGGAGGGTAACTGCCAGACTGTGACTGGAGGTGGCACTGGAGGGAACTGGGAGACTGTGGCACTGGAGGGTAACTGGAGACTGTGGCACTGGAGGTAACTGGGAGACTGGGCTGGCCACCGGGCTGTGGCACTGGAGGTAACTGACTGTGGCACTGGAGGGGCAACTGGGAGACTGTGGCACTGGAGGTAACTGGGAGACTGTGGCACTGGAGGGTAACTGCAGACTGTGACTGGAGGGTAACTGGGAACTGTGGCACTGGAGGGTAACTGTGGCACTGGCTGGCAGACTGTGGCACTGGAGGGCAACTGGGAGACTGTGGCACTGGAGGGTAACTGGGAGACTGTGGCACTGGAGGGTAACTGGGAGACTGTGGCACTGGAGGTAACTGGGGAGACTGAGGGTAACTGGATGACTGTGGCACTGGAGGGTAACTGGGAGACTGTGGCACTGGAGGTAACTGGGAGACTGTGGCACTGGAGCTGGAAGCTGTGGCACTGGAGGGTAAACTGGCACTGGGGGTAACTGGGAGACTGTGGCACTGGAGGGTAACTGGCAGACTGGCACTGAGGGACTGAGACTGGACTGGAGGGTAACTGGGAGACTGTGGCACTGGAGGGGTAACTGGGAGACTGTGGCACTGGAGGGTAACTGGGAGACTGTGGCACTGGAGGGTAACTGGGAGACTGTGGCACTGGAGGTAACTGGCAGACTGTGGCACTGAGAGGGTGCAACTGGCAGACCTGTGGCACTGGAGGGGTAACTGGGAGACTGTGGCACTGGAGGGTAACTGTGAGACTGTGGCACTGGAGGGTAACTGGGAGACTGTGGCACTGGAGGGTAACTAGTGCCAAGACGTTCCAACCTTCATCATGGCACCGTCTAGGGTGGCACTCAGAGGCACCCACCTGTTATTGTTAAACCAACTCGGCTACAGAAGCTTCAAGTGGTAGAAACTAAGAATTGATCACAGTTTAGGAATGGTTGACAGTTAGGAAGGACTGTTTATTAGTTTGACTGTAAATTAGTAATGGCTGAATTAGGAATGACTGTAAATTTGAAATGATTGAATTAGGAATGACTGTAAATTAGAAATGAGTAAATTTGAGATGACTGAATTTGGAATGACTGTAAATTTAGAATGACTGAATTGGGAATGGCTGTAAATTAGTAATGACTAAATTAGGAATGACACACCTAGGCCCTATTCCATCCCCAAATATACTCATAATAGGAATCCCAATTTTTCACCAAATTTAAGAAAAAAAAAAAATTCCTCGTAACTAGAATCAAAAAGCACAGTGTCTTAGTGAAGGTCGAGTCTTGGGGTAACTACGACGCCATCTTGGTCTTTCGGACATTAAAGTGGACTTAAACTTACGATATCTTTCAGAATTAAAGTATAAGAGTTGGAGGAGTTTACCTTTGTGTTTTGTTATGTTTTTTTACCTTAGGTGATTAGAGAAGGGATTAGAAATGGCTGCTAAGATGGCGTCTATTTCACACCGAGACTTTGATTGTGTTTGGTCGCGTTTATTTGTCTCTCTCTCTCTCTCTCTCTCTCTCTCTCTCAAACGTAAGCTACGCCAGTCTTGTCTTACTGTAGTGTGTGTGTGTGTGTGTGTGTGTGTATCTAGACTGAGATGTGTGTGTGCGTGCGTGTGTCTAACTACTTAACCCTCACCCTCCAACAACCTCACACCAGACACACCAATATTTAGCTAACTACCAACCCCCTCCCTCTCCCTGGCAGGTGAGGATAAGGTCCCCTGTTTTATGCATCTCTCGGCTAAATGCCAACTGTGACATTGTCTCAGAGGGGGTAAATACCACTCTTAGGTTATGCATTAGCCGGGTCATTAGGCAAATGCTACGGTAAAAAGTGAAAACTCGGTTAATCTGAAGTAAGAGAGGTTGATCCTTCACGTGCTGCCACCTGACGGCCGGCGGTGGAGTCGTCAACTGTCGTCAGGCGGGCTTATGGTCGAGCCCAAGTGGTTGTTTTTACTCCAGTATTAACAACGATTTTCCCATCTATCTAACACTTCTTAACCCATATCAATTATAATTAAAGATATTATCAATAGAGGTAATGATTGGTCGGAAATAAGCTGTTAGGGTTTTGTGTTAAAGAAATTGTTTGACATAATTCACAGTCGTCGTCCATCGTCCTGGGTAAGAAACGAGTGACCGGCCGTGCCCGTCTGTCTGGCGCGGGGCACGAGGCTGTAAATGGCTTTATCAGGCTAACTCATTGTTTGGTTTTCGACACAGTTTTATTATAATTCTTTTCTCTGGTAATATTGTTTTTATATGTACAAAATAAAAGAACTAACGAGTATTGTGAACGGTGAATAAGAGACACTAATGTAAGGAAGATGAATAGAGGAATGAAAGGGAGAGAGACGACCATAATGTTTTCCCTGTTAGTAGCTAACATAACTAACCTAATTTGCCTACCTAATTTACCCACCTAATTTGCCTACCTCATTTTCCTATCTAATTTACCTAATTGATTTACCCATCTCATTTGCCTACCTATCTTGCCTACCTGATTTACCTACGTAATTTACCTCCCTAATTTATCTTCCTGATTTACATAACGGCCATAAAGGGGAGGAGGTGTACTGGTAGACTGTTCCATAGGCCTACCACCACCACCACAGCTTGTACTGGTAGACTGTTCCTTAGGCCTACCACCACCACCACAGCTTGTACTGGTAGACTGTTCCTTAGGCCTACCACCACCACCACAGCTTGTACTGGTAGACTGTTCCTTGGGCTACCACCACCACCAGAGGCTTGTACTGGTAAACTGTTCCTTAGGCTTACCACCACCACAGATTGTACTGGTAGACTGTTCCATAGGCCCACCACACAGATTGTACTGGTAGACTGTTCCTTAGGCCTACCACCACCACCACAGCTTGTCTGGTAGACTGTTCCATAGGCCTACCACCACACAGATTGTACTGGTAGACTGTTCCATAGGCCTACCACCACAGCTTGTACTGGTAGACTGTTCCATAGGCCTACCACCACCACCACAACTTGTACTGGTAGACTGTTCCATAGGCCTATCCACCACCACAGCTTGTACTGGTAGACTGATCCATAGGCCTACCACCACCACAGATTGTACTGGTAGACTGTTCCATAGGCCTACCACCACCACAGATTGTACTGGCAGACTGTTCCATAGGCCTACCACTGCCTCCACAGATTGGGCTAAACTAATTTAAAGTCGTTTACCTACCACAGTATTAGGCATGTGGGTCCCATTAGAACTCATCAGAACTGGAACCCATTATAATCTGTGACCATTAGGACTGAGCCATATAGTAATAGGGACCCATTAAGAGAAGAGGCCAATTATACGACTGAAGCTCCAATTTTGATGGTTATTTTAGTTATGACCCATTGGAACTGGGACCCATTAAGACTAGGCCCCACTAGAACTAGGACCCATTAAGACTGGGACCAACTAGAACTAGGACCCATTAAGACTGGGACCCACTATACTAGGACCCATTAAGACTGGGACCCATTAAGACTGGGACCCATTAAGACTAGGACCCACTAGAACTAGGACCCATTAAGACTGGGACCAACTAGAACTAGGTCCCATTAAGACTAGGCCCCACTAGAACTAGGACCCATTAAGACTGGGACCAACTAGAACTAGGACCCATTAAGACTGGGACCAACTAGAACTAGGTCCCATTAAGACTAGGCCCCACTAGAACTAGGACCCATTAAGACTGGGACCCACTAGAACTAGGACCCATTAAGACTGGGACCCACTATACTAGGACCCATTAAGACTGGGACCCATTAAGACTGGGACCCATTAAGACTAGGACCTAGAACTAGGACCCATTAAGACTAGGACCCACTAGAACTAGGACCCATTAAGACTGGGACCAACTAGAACTAGGTCCCATTAAGACTAGGCCCCACTAGAACTAGGACCCATTAAGACTGGGACCCACAGAAACTAGGACCCATTAAGACTGGGACCCACTGAACTAGGATCCATTAAGACTGGGACCCACTAGAACTAGGATCCATTAAGACTGAGACCCACTAGAACTAGGACCCATTAAGACTGGGACCCACTATACTAGGACCCATTAAGACTAGGACCCACTAGAACTAGGACCCATTAGACTGGGACCCACTAGAACTAGGACCCATTAAGACTGGGACCCACTGAACTAGGATCCATTAAGACTGGGACCCACTAGAACTGATCCATTAAGACTGGGACCCACTAGAACTAGGATCCATTAAGACTGGGACCCACTAGAACTAGGATCCATTAAGACTGGGACCCACTAGAACTAGGACCCATTAAGACTGGGACCTATACTAGGACCCATTAAGACTGGGACCCACTAGAAATAGGATCCATTAAGACTAGGACCCACTAGAACTAGGATCCATTAAGACTGGACACACTAGAACTAGGACCCATTAGACTGGGACCCACTAGAACTAGGACCCATTAAGACTAGGACCCACTAGAACTAGGACCCATTAAGACTGGGACCCACTAGAACTAGGATCCATTAGACTGGGACCCACTATACTAGGACCCATTAAGACTAGGACCCACTAGAACTAGGACCCATTAAAACTAGGACCCACTAGAACTAGGATCCATTAAGACTGGGACACACCTAGAAATAGGATCCATTAAGACTGGGACCCACTAGAACTAGGACCCATTAAGACTAGGACCCACTAGAACTAGGACCCATTAAGACTGGGACCCACTAGAACTAGGATCCATTAAGACTGGGACACACTAGAACTAGGACCCATTAAGACTAGGATCCACTAGAACTAGGACCCATTAAGACTGGGACCCACTAGAACTAGGACCCATTAAGACTGGGACCCACTAGAACTAGGACCCATTAAGACTGGGACCCACTAGAACTAGGACCCATTAAGACTGGGACCCACTAGAACTAGGATCCATTAAGACTAGGACCCACTAGAACTAGGTCCCATTAAGACTGGGACCCACTAGAACTAGGTCCCATTAAGACTGGGACCCACTAGAACTAGGATCCATTAAGACTGAGACCCACTAGAACTAGGATCCATTAAGACTGGGACCCACTAGAACTAGGATCCATTAAGACTGGGACCCATTAGACTGGACCCATTAAGACTGGGACCCATTAAGACTGGGACCCACTATACTAGGACCCATTAGAACTAGGACCCATTAAGACTGGGATCCATTAAGACTGGGATATACTAGGACCATAGACTGGGACCCATTAGAACTAGGACCCATTAAGACTGGGACCCACTAGAACTAGGACCCATTAAGACTGGGACCCTATACTAGGACCCATTAAGACTGGGACCCATTAAGACTGGGACCCATAGACTGGGACCCACTAGAACTAGGACCCATTAAGACTGGGACCCACTAGAACTAGGACCCATTAAGACTGGGACCCATTAAGACTAGGACCCACTAGAACTAGGACCCATTAAGACTGGGACCCATTAGAACTAGGACCCATTAAGACTGGGACCCACTAGAACTAGGACCCATTAGACTGGGACCCATTAGAACTAGGACCCATTAAGACTGGGACACACTAGAACTAGGACCCATTAAGACTGGGACCCACTAGAACTAGGACCCATTAAGACTGGGACCCATTAGAACTAGGACCCATTAAGACTGGGACCCACTAGAACTAGGACCATTAAGACTGGGACCCATTAGAACTAGGACCATTAAGATCGGACACACTAGAACTAGGACCCATTAAGACTGGGACCCATTAGAACTAGGACCCATTAAGACTGGGACCCACTAGAACTAGGACCCATTAAGACTGG